GCCCAGCCCGCCCCTGGTGCAACATTGCAACCGAGACAAGAGGCATGGCCACCTCGCCGGTAGATAGGGACAGTGGGAATCTCGTTAATCCATTCATGCGCGTCACTAATTAGATGACGAGGCATTTGGCTATTCCTGCGTCAACGCCCTTGGGCGGACGGACTTCCCGGGGTAGCTCCCCAGTGTGCGTGTCCTTAGTTGATAAATAACTTAAAATAATCTATACCGATAAAATCGGCAGTGTCACTAACAAAATTAAATATATAAATGTACATTCAGCATATGTCATATGGATTAATCGCATAGCTAGCTCATCAAGCAGAGCCCTGCCTACCACTGGCCAATTGGACCCGGTGCGAGGAGCGAGGTATGTCTCTAAGCATCCATGAATGCATTTATCATTTCAATGGAGCTTCTTAAGGCTATCAGAGACATACAGGGTTTGTCCGGAAAGTAATGCGTCGCATTTTTAAAAAGAATTTATTGATCGCATAGGTAAACAACTTAAATTTTCGAAGTATGACCCTTCTGCGTCAATACATTTTTGCCAACGCGATTTCCATGCGTCATAAGATTTCTGGAACTCCTTGACTGGGATGCTGTTCAGGGAGGCCGTCGAAGTAGCTTGTACGTTGTCAACCGACTCGAGCTGTGTCCTTGAGCCCCTTTTCAGCCGAGGAAATAAAAAAAGTCCGCCGGGGCCAAGTCGGGACTGTAGGGCGGCTGCGGCACCGTTGCCACACCGATCCGGGTCAGGTAGGCCGTAATAACAAACTTTATCGCATAGCGTTGCTCTATCGTTCTCTCCATCACAAGTTCGACCACTAAGCAGAGGTTCACAGAATAAGCCGTCCTAACCCTCCAAGCGCATGGAAACAATTGAGCGACCTACCGTTGGAAAGCTAAGGGTACCCCCTTCCTCCCCAACCGGTCCCATCGCTCTGCGATGTATAGTCGCGTCACAAAAATGCGACGCATTACTTTCCGGACAAACCCTGTAGTCAGCCAGTCAGTCCTTTTGATCTTTAGCTGCTTAAGCTCGTGCACTGTAGACTGCGGAAGTGCATCTCTGGAGCCAACCACAATAGCAGCAACACGTGCTGACTTGGCTTTGAATTCTCTCTTAAGTTTATTCGCAACGGGCGTATATTGGCTACCTTCTCTCTAGCTGCTATCTGAAGAAAGTCTTGGTTTTCGTACCGGACAGTCACGTCGAGCACGATAATCCCTTTCTCATTCATTATGACGAGATCGGGTTTAAACCTTTCTCCGCTAACCTCTATAGTGGGTTCCACCATCACTTGGTCGTTAGCAGCCAGTCGCTCCTTGAGAAGGTGGACGATTTCATTGTGCCTTTTTATCCTTTTAGGCTTAGTGGTCCGACACTGACCAAAATATGACCAAGTGTTTCTCTATGGTCACCGCAGGCTCTGCAAGTCGTATCGACATTGTCATGGGCCCTGCTTATTACTACCCTTGTGGGATAGGTGTTCGTGCGCAATTTAATCGCATCGATTATACGCGACGATTTCATTAGGTCGCTTCTAGACAGCCATGCATTACAAATAGGCTCATACGCAAAGTCAACTGAGCCTTGGCCTTGGGCCACTTGTTGCGAGAGTTGTTCCCTATATTCTCTACGCATTCGAACTTTGTACTGGTCAATCTGTTGGATCGACAGTGGCCATTGCAAACGCAATGCTGCCGCGTACCCGGCATACTTCTTTCGCGTTCGATCATTTTCAAACGAATCGCGAACTATTTTGTCAGCCGACTGCATGGCTTTAACGCCGTTGCGCAATGCTGCAACCAACACCTGCTTCCTTACTTCGAGCAGGCCCAAGCCTCCTTCTCTTTTAGGTGTGTACAGGAGCTTGTTGTTTCATGAAGGTGCAATATTCTTTTAGCACCATCCCTTATGACAACATCGATCGCTTTTAGCGTCTCGTTAGATGGAGGACGCACGATTCCCATACAGCACCGATAGATTGCAAAAACATTACAACAATCTTTCACCGCAATATTGCAATATTGCAAATTCACTGCAAATGTTGCTACATCATTGCTGTTGAATTGCAGCAATGTTAAAATGTCCGCTTTTTGAAAGATTGCAACAAAATATTACAACAATATTGCAATATGTTATGAGTTTGCAATAATGCATTGTTATTGCAACCATAAACTAATGTTGCATATACAGGTATATAAATGTAATAAATCATTAATGAAAATACGTTGTAGTTAATTTATATTATGACAATATAAATTATAGAATTTGGATTACATGCAATATTTCCGAAATATTAATGTCATGTTGCTACAAGTGTGCTGGAATTTTGTGCACCTATATCTCTGCAATGTCTTTATAATGTTGCATTGCAACTTACAACATTGCAACGTTGCTGCAATATAATTGCAATAATCTGTGCTGTATGGGTTAGTACATATGTAAATCTCGGTAAGAGATACGTTTTAAGCAGCTCAATCTTCTGCATCGGTTTGATGGGCAAAGTTTTAACCCTATTTATTATATCTTGGAAGGTCTCCACTTCGAAGCCTTCCATCAGGCCTTTCCAAGGCGTGAGCTTAGCGCCGAGGTATTTGAATGTCTCGCCTGGTTCATTATGTGGGACCGGCTCATCTCGCAGATGCAGACCGGGGTCCCTTGTGTACCATGTCTTATGTCTGGGCACATACTCGAAGGCGGAGCACTTATCAATCGACAGGCTCATACCTCTATTCCTTAGCTGCTCGTGTACCATACGCAGCTGTGTATTGGCCGCCTCCTTGTTGCTCGCCAAGAGCACAATGTCATCGGCAAAGGCCATTGCGGCCAAATTATGGCCTTCAACTTTGATACCCAATGTGGTGTCTTGGACCGCCTCGATTATTGGTTCGACGACCAAGTTAAATAAGAGAGGCGAGAGCGGATCGCCTTGTTTGACACCTCTCTTTAACTGGACGGCCACCACTCCGTCTTGAGTCTTTATTGTCGTATGACAATCAATGTAGCTCTTGGCTATATAATCAGCCACTAGTGGTGGTATGCCTTTACGCTCTAGAGCTACTTTGATGGCAGCGTGAGGGACGGTGTCGAATGCTTTTGATACATCGAGCACCGTAAATATCCCTCCTTGGGCTTTAGCTTCAGTGATTGCCAAACCGAGGAGATGTACATTAGCGAAACATCCATTCTCCTCCGTAAAACCCTTCTGTCTCTCTGTCTGACTAATGACACCACGTATGCGGCGATCTAGCAGGGACGAATAGATTCTGCTTATCATGGACGCTATTGTGATCGGTCGCCAATTTTTGATATTTCGTGTGTCTTTCCCAGGTTTGGGAATAAGCGTCGTTCTGTTTATCTTCCAAGCGGAAGGATAAGCCTCGTTAACCAAGAGCAAGTTAAAAAGCTTGGCGAGTACGACACTCAATCCATCATATTTGATGTGGGCCTTCGTCAAGCCGTCGACACCAGCGGCTGACGAGTTGGGGATCTTCCTGATTTTACTCTTGATTTCTCCCGGTGTTATGGGAGAAAGGATCCGTCCCACTTCAACCGTGGGTACCACCTGTGTAAGAGGTGCTTGTTCTGGGCCTGCTGTACCCCATAGACCTAGGTACAAATCTTTGGTATCATTTGTATCGGGGGTTTCCCGGATTTGCATCAGAGATAGGTCATTAACTGCCACTACATCAGCCAGCCTTTTAGGACACTTATTCATCAGCTCTTGGCATTTAGCGAAAGCATAGCGCCTTCTTTGAGCTCTATTAGGCCGTGTACCTGCTTTGCGTCTTCTTCGCCTTCGTTCAGACACTTTAGGACGCTTTGCTCTTTCATTTCTGCCTGGGTCCGTATCAGACGGGTCCGCTACTAGTCGCTCGTATAACGTGTCAAGATCTCTTTGGGAGACTTCACTCTCGTGTAACTGTGAGAGTTCCGTACTCCATGCCGACCATTTACGTGGGACTTCATACTCGACCCTCAATTCGGCAGAGATACGCGGCTTCCACTGATCTTCTAGGAGCTCTGGCGCTATCTCGCGAAGAGGAGAGTTCAATACAGCCACCGAGCCACTTTGTGACTCCATCGATTTTTGACTTTGACTGTGGGCGGCATCCTGAGACGGACCCGCTATTGCGGCATCCTCAGGTTGTGGTGATTGCGAGGCGAGTTCCATGGCTCGCAGACGCCTGCGGGCGTCGCTGATCTGCTTGTTTGTTCTGCCAGGGAAGAACTCCATCAACTTTATATTTATAAATCTTTCATTTGCGAATTCTCGCTCACGCTCTCGCAATTCATCCAGCTCATCATCTGTCCACACTGTTGGCCGGCGACCACCCTGGCCCGTTGCGGCATTCGCTTCGGCCGCTCGCTTTGCATTGCGCAAATTTGGGTGCGCATGTCGTTCATGCTGCGACAGGCCTATTTGAGAAGTAAACTTTTCTTGACACTTCTCGCAGGTGAAAGTAGCTAACGGATTTGCCAATTTCCGACCTTTACATTTGGCGTAATGGCATCGCCAAGCGTGCATTTTTGGGAAGCTTTTATTGCACTTGTCACAGCTCCAATTGAGCGAGACAGAAGGATGCTCCTCTAGAACGTGTTTATTCAACTGCCCGCTGCCAAGGCAGGAAATATTGAGACCGTTCTCAGAGCACTTTGGGCATATTATTGCCGTTTCGACACTTCCTTGGATGTCATAGGATTGGGTAACCCGTAAGGGTAAGGGCTCCCATCGCATGTCCGGCGGCGCCCCTGGGACTCGAGCGCCGTTCACGTCCCCTCGCCTATTTGCCACACAGGCAGCGACCGGTTCGCCAGGGACGTTCTCGAAACCGGCCGCCTCCGAGGCTTCTCCTATATTCTCCATATCATAAATATATATTCGCTCCTTTAATAGGATCGTCACGCAGAGCTGACGCGACGTCCGGGCATTCGGCAGCACCTCGCCACACGATGGACTTAATCGCTCGAGACGCAATACTTATAACATGCATCAGTTCGAGCCAAGCTAAGGGGCAGAATAATGCCAAAGGCACTTATTTGCTGATCAGCATTTCACAGAGTGTTATCTCTGTTTCCCCATGAATAGTCGACTTCAGCCAACTTATAGGTTCAATATACTTCGCAGAGCTCTTTCGACGCTGTTGGCGACTCGGATCGCCCATATCTACTAATTAAAGCCGTGGGTTTACGGGCTATTCAGCTAGCCGGTTATTAGACTAGATAACTCACGGGTAGGACACCAGAGTGACTAAGACTCCTCGCGGCGTGTTGCTTTAATTTTTTTAAAGCAAAAAGGGGAGTCCTGCCAATGACAGCACTACCCCTTCCTAGATATTAGCAATTCTTAATTATCTGGCAAGGCCAGTTCGCCACTAGTTTATGTGCTAAGATGTTGTCGCATAGTTACTTCAAGGAAAGAGCCTTTCGGTGTCCTTATGCCAGAGCCCCGTTGGCCGCCGGGGGGTGAGCCCCAGACGTTGCCCGACTCTCACCACGAGGAGGTGGGGTTGGCCTTAAGAGAGTCATAGTTACTCCCGCCGTTTACCCGCGCTTGCTTGAATTTCTTCACGTTGACATTCAGAGCACTGGGCAGAAATCACATTGCGTCAACACCCGCGAGGGCCATCGCAATGCTTTGTTTTAATTAGACAGTCGGATTCCCCTAGTCCGTGCCAGTTCTGAGCTGAGCGTTGAATGGCGGCCAAAGAGGACGACCACGACGGCTCGCGCCGCCACGGAAGCCTCGCAGCAAGGAAGATCCGCGGGAGGCCAAGGCACGGGACCGAGCTCGGATCCCGGGACCGGCGCGAGAACGCCGACCGTTCACCTCGCCCAGGCCCGGCACGTCAGCCAGACCCGCTTCCCGACCAAGCCCGACACGCCCCGCTCCTCAGAGCCAATCCTTATTCCGAAGTTACGGATCCAATTTGCCGACTTCCCTTACCTACATTATTCTATCGACTAGAGGCTCTTTACCTTGGAGACCTGCTGCGGATATGGGTACGAACCGGCGCGACACCTCCACGTGGCCCTCTCCTGGATTTTCAAGGTCCGAGGGGAAGATCCGGACACCGCCGCAACTGCGGTGCTCTTCGCGTTCCAAACCCTATCTCCCTGCTAGAGGTTTCCAGGGAACTCGAACGCTTATACAGAAAAGAAAACTCTTCCCGGATCTCCCGACGGCGTCTCCAGGTCATTTTGGGTTACCCCGACGAACACTCTTACGAGGGCCCGAATTGTATGCGGTTCCGCTGCCGGGTTCCGGAATAGGAACCGGATTCCCTTTCGCCCGACGGGCGTGTGTCTTTCGTATAATATTTATTATTATTTCTCGACACTCGAGTATATTGTACGCCGTCATTGACATAGGATTTCTCCTAGGGCTTAGGATCGACTGACTCGTGTGCAACGGCTGTTCACACGAAACCCTTCTCCACGTCAGTCCTCCAGGGCCTCGCTGGAGTATTTGCTACTACCACCAAGATCTGCACCGACGGCGGCTCCAGGCAGGCTCGCGCCCAGACCCTTCTGCGCTCACCGTCGCGACCCTCCTACTCGTCAGGGCTTCGTGACGACGCGAGAGAAGACTAACGCCCGCTCCCGGTTGCCGCCCCACTTGCCGCTGACGGCAGAGTATAGGCTCGACGCTTCAGCGCCATCCATTTTCAGGGCTAGTTGCTTCGGCAGGTGAGTTGTTACACACTCCTTAGCGGATTCCGACTTCCATGGCCACCGTCCTGCTGTCTTAAGCAACCAACGCCTTTCATGGTGTCCCATGAGCGTCGAGTTGGGCGCCTTAACTCTGCGTTTGGTTCATCCCACAGCGCCAGTTCTGCTTACCAAAAATGGCCCACTTGGCACTCTGATCCGAAGATGCTCGTGGCTTCATAATTCAAGAAAGCCAGAGATCTCACCCATTTAAAGTTTGAGAATAGGTTGAGGTCGTTTCGGCCCCAAGGCCTCTAATCATTCGCTTTACCAGATGAGACTCGCGCGCGTTCCGTGCGGAACGGCCGAGTGCCAGCTATCCTGAGGGAAACTTCGGAGGGAACCAGCTACTAGATGGTTCGATTAGTCTTTCGCCCCTATACCCAGTTCCGACGATCGATTTGCACGTCAGAATCGCTACGGACCTCCATCAGGGTTTCCCCTGACTTCGTCCTGACCAGGCATAGTTCACCATCTTTCGGGTCCCAACGTGTACGCTCTGGGTGCGCCTCTTCTCGCGATGAGAACGAGACGCCCCGGGAGTGCGAGGCCGCATCGCGACGCGGCCCATCCTCCCTAGGTCGACGGCCAGGGCCGACCTTCACTTTCATTACGCCTTTAGGTCTCGCGACAAGTCCCAATGACTCGCGTACATGTTAGACTCCTTGGTCCGTGTTTCAAGACGGGTCCTAAGAGTACCCAAAGCAGTAGCGTCGCCGACCGGTATCGGTCTCCCGCGAGACCGCGGGAGACGTTCGCAGGCCTGTCGAAGGTGTACCGTACTGTAACCAACAGCGGGCCAGGACCGGGGACGGCGCGAAGTCCGTAACCTCCGAGTACCGTGGCGCGCGCTTGCGACGGTCTCGACGCACCGTGAATAGTGCGGCCTGATACCTTGCGCGTACCGCCGAGCAGCCGGCCGGGCGACCGAGGGTTTGTCGCGTGCCGTTTTACCGGCGACGCGACAGACACCGCACCCGGGCCGTAGACCGACACCCAGCGGGTCGCGACGTTCTACTTGGGGAGAAGTGCACGACGACGAGCGCCGGACATCGGCGCACGGTAGCGTGCCCGCGCGCGAGCCGCAAGGACTCCGCGGGACATCGCCGACCGACGCGAAGCCAGCGCCGCTGACGATGAATCTCCCCGTTCGATCTTTTGGGTTTCTTAGGTTTACCCCTGAACGGTTTCACGTACTCTTGAACTCTCTCTTCAAAGTTCTTTTCAACTTTCCCTCACGGTACTTGTTCGCTATCGGTCTCGTGGTCGTATTTAGCCTTAGATGGAGTTTACCACCCACTTAGAGCTGCACTCTCAAGCAACCCGACTCTAAGGAGAGATCCTCCCGAGGCGCGCACCGGTCGCTACGGGCCTGGCACCCTCTACGGGTAAGTGGCCCCATTCAAGATGGACTTGGACGCGACGCGGCACCTCGGGATAAGCGGATCCTCCCAAACACCACATTTCCCTGCGGCGGAACCGCGGGATTCGGTGCTGGGCTCTTTCCTGTTCGCTCGCCGCTACTAAGGAAATCCTGGTTAGTTTCTTTTCCTCCGCTTAATAATATGCTTAAATTCAGCGGGTAATCTCGCCTGCTCTGAGGTCGTCGCATAGTGAGTTTTCGTAGCCGTTTGCCTCCTCCGCGTCGCTCATCGTCGTCTCTCCTCTATAATATATATTATAAGAGGGAGAGAGAGAGAGCGTCGAACGAGAGAGCAGCAGCGGCAGCACACGAAATACGCGAGAAGGCAAATCGCCGGGGCGCTAACCGCACACACACTCGTTGGTGGTAATGGAGACGATATATCGCGGGGTTCGAGATTCTCGGCTCTCCCTTCTCTTTTATATACGAAATTCGGGCGGAATCGATTCGACGAGTACACGACGCGGCGCGCCGGTCCCCTTTTTTCGCTTTACGAAAATTTCGTGGACTCGGACACGCGGTCGGCTCGCGATTCAAAACCCTTCTCCGTAAAGAGGTAAAGGATTACGAATGCTCTCTCCGCCGGACGACGACGCGCCGTATATTTCTCCGTAATACCGTTATGTGTGCGGGCAAGGGCGCCTCGGCATAAGACGCGCGAGCGCTATCGCACCGAGAGACGCGGCACAGAGTGCGAGAGCAGTCCGGTCAGTCTGTGTGATGTACGGAGAGGAGAGACGGTGAGACAAGCGCTACCTACTTTCGGGAGACAACGACGCACGCGCCGCTCTAGGGAAAGCGGTGCCATTCACCGTCCTGACCCTTTTTTTGGCCGTTTGTTGCTCCCTTCGCGCGCGCTCTTACTCTCATCCCATTTCTCCTCGGCTCTCGCGTACACACACGACTTGGATACACAAACACGCTCCCCCTCTTAATTCGCGCAGCATTCTCTGGGCGCGCGTTCGCCAACGTTTTACACGCTTGTGCGCTTCTCCTCCTCATTATTATTATTTCGGTGTGTCATTTCAGACGACGCCAGGATTTGCACCGCGGCCGGTCGGCGCGGCACAGACACCTCGGGCGAACGTCCAACGATCGCTCGTACGCCCATTGTAAGCGTTGCACAGGGCACAGGCGACGCGCGCGCCATTCTCTGGTCGCCCGCGTCGTGGCCGTGCGCGCTTTTCGGGCGCAAGCAGTTTAGGGGTACTAAAACGACCCTCAGCCAGGCGTGGTCCGGGAATTGTATCCGTGGACCGCAATGTGCGTTCGAAATGTCGATGTTCATGTGTCCTGCAGTTCACAAGTTGACGCGCAATTAGCTGCGTTCTTCATCGACCCACGAGCCAAGTGATCCACCGTTCAGGGTAATCGTTCGAAATTTTTGCGTTCGCGAAGAAACGCGCTTCTCGTTCAACCATCGTGGTCTCTTCTCTCGGACGAGAGAGAGAGAATAATCGTGGTGGCTCTTCGATCAGCCTGTCCGCGCGCGTCCGAGGACGCGCGCGGACCGCCGCCTCCCGCCAGGGAAGGCTACGGCACAAAGATAGAGTTGTGTGTTTCTCGTTCGGAGCGTCTCTCCCGCAACGGGAGAGCCGGGGCGGAAGCTCTTTGAAGAAACCGTCGGACCGACACAGTTGACAGATTGGTCGAAATATCATCGATCCCTTCTCTGTGTTATATATATATTATAATAATATATGGGGGTCCTCTCGCTCGGCACTCGCGGTCGCACACCGTGTGTTCTCGGCACGCTGACCGCTGCCCCGCGACAACGGGGAGGGCGCGCGTCGACGAACGTCGTGGGTGCTGCACACACGCGTGCGCGGGCATAGGTTACCACCGGTTCGCGCTCAACG